GTACACTTATGTCGGTGAATGTAAAACTATTAATTTGTTTAATTAATTTAATTTAGAAACTGACTTTATTAACCCATGACTCACACTTCACACTCTTCTCAAGAGGGTGGCCACTTGCATGAAGTTGGAGGCCACGCCCTCGTGTTTAAAGCTCTCCCAATAAAATAATGAGCTTAATTTGTTTCCTTCAGCTTAGTGCAACGATGGTTGTTTAATCTTGTGGTAAGTATAAGTCCAAGAGAAGAACTCAATCCTAAAAACCTAATCTGTTAGGAGGGAGAACTCTTTGAACTTATGAAGCACACAATATTTGTGAAATTTTCTAATGTGGGACTCATAATAATACATCCTTCTCTAGAGTTGATGTCCCGGTGGCTCCAAACCACAGCACTTTACTTGGTTTCCTGTTAGTTAGAACCCTACGTGGGTCTAATTGGCCAACTCTCAATAAAAGCACTAATGTGATGATCATCTAATCCCAAAAGACTATACTTTAGGAAGGAATAATAATGCGATAAGCATAAATCCAAAAAGAGAGCTCCTTAAATTTATAAGGCACACAACACTTGTTAAATTCTCTAATGTGGGACTCAACAAATTTCTTTCACCTTTTTGGTTGAAATTTATTTAGTATCTAATACTATTAGCTCCGATCCTTAATATAAGAGTTAAATAACTAATTTGTGAATATTAAGGAAGTTAAAAAATCACTTAATTATAACTTATCATATAATCTCTCTAAAATACTTATGTGTATCATTAAATTATATATCAGTTTATAAGCAAGACAAATTAGTTTAGAGAAAAATGACAAATATAACATTTTAACGTAATTTATTTAATGCTCTAAATCTTTTCAAATTAGTCAACTAGATTTTATAATAAAAAAGTACATAGTACTATTATAGCTAATATAGATCCAAACTTAATCAGACTATAAACTGGAGGAAGCTCTTATGATGAGTCTTTTAAATATCACATCTTTTTCTCTTGACACAACTTCTTCGACAATGATCGGCTGTTAAAATAAAGATTCAATTTTATCTTAATACAATGATAGGTAGACTTAGTGATCATAACATTTTTACATCATATTGAAAACTTCATGTGTTCTTTCATACTCAAGAAAAATTTATGGAGTCTGGTCACCTGGATGGAATACTTTATATATGAGTAAATTTGTATCTTAACCCAAACCCAAAGGAAAATATCAAGTTACTTCCAACAGATAAACTGTTAGTTTAGTTCAACGTGAAGGGTCGTTAAAAAGAGTGATGTAGTTTCGTAATTCTATGCATAATCACTTGCTCATGTCTCTTAGGCTCTTGGTTTGATGCCAACACTACAAAAAAATAGACTTTAGGCGACGACTTTCGGCGGCGACAAAAAAAGTCGCCGCTGAAAGTCCACTTTCGGCGGCGACACCAAAAAGTCGCCGCTGAAACCAAGACTTTCAGCGGCGACAAAAGTGTCGCCGCCGAAAGTCGACTTTCAGCGGCGACTTTTCTAGTCGCCGCTGAAAGTTCGCCATTAAAACCAAGACTTTCAGCGGCGACAAAAGTGTCGCCGCCGAAAGTCGACTTTCAGCGGCGACTTTTCTAGTCGCCGCTGAAAGTTCGCCATTGAAACCAAGACTTTCAGCGGCGACAAAAGTGTCGCCGCTGAAAGTGGACCTTCAGCGGCGACTTTTTTTGTCGCCGCCGAAAGTGGACTTTCAGCGGCGACTTTTTTTGTCGCCGCTGAAAGTATAATATAATAATATATATTTTATTTTACAATATTAATAAACAAATTGCCGAAAATGGACCTTCAGCGGCGACTTTTTTTGTCGCCGCCGAAAGTGGACCTTCAGCGGCGACTTTTTTGTCGCCGCCAAAAGTGGACTTTCAGCGGCGACTCTTTTTGTCGCCGCTGAAAGTATAATATAATAATATATATTTTATTTTACAATATTAATAAACAAATTGTCGAAAATGGACCTTCAGCGGCGACTTTTTTTGTCGCCGCCGAAAGTGGACCTTCAGCGGCGACTCTTTTTGTCGCCGCTGAAAGTATAATATAATAATATATATTTTATTTTACAATATTAATAAACAAATTGCCGAAAATGCACCTTCAGCGGCGACTTTTTTTGTCGCCGCCGAAAGTATAATATAATAATATATATTTTATTTTACAATATTAATAAATAAATTGCTGAAAATGGACCTTCAGCGGCGACTTTTTTTGTCGCCGCCGAAAGTGGACCTTCAGCGGCGACTTTTTTTGTCGCCGCTGAAAGTATAATATAATAATATATATATTTTACAATATTAATAAACAAATTGCCGAAAATGCACCTTCAGCGGCGACTTTTTTTGTCGCCGCCGAAAGTGGACCTTCAGCGGCGACTTTTTTTGTCGCCGCTGAAAGTATAATATAATAATATATATTTTATTTTACAATATTAATAAACAAATTCAATCTGGCTCAGCGGCAAGAAGGTTGGACACGAAGAGAGGCGGTCACGAGTTCGAACCTGGAAGAAGACACATTTAAGGTGAAAATATTTAGACGATGACGTGGCGAGGAGGAGTGACGTGGCAATGACGTGGAGGTGGCTAGTGATGATGTGGCAGTCAGCGGTGATGACGTGGCCGCCGATGGCGATGACGTGGAGGTCGACGGTGCTGACGTGGCGGCCGGAGACGATGACGTGGCACTGGCGGTGATGACGTGGCATTGGTAAAGCCAATTCTTCTTAGGCATTACTTTCAGCGGCGACAAAAAAGTCGCCGCAGAAAACACTTTCGGCGGCGACAAGATTGTGGCCGCCGAAAGTGTTTTCTGCGGCGACTTTTTTGTCGCCGCTGAAATGCTTTTCAGCGGCGACAAATGTCGCCACCGAAAGTGTTTTCGGCGGCGACATTTGTCGCTGCTGAAACTTCTAAAAGTCGCCGCTGAAAGTATCTTTTAACGGCGACCTTTTTAGTCGCCACTGAAAGTTTTTAGCCACGGCTGCTACGGCAACGACTTTTCAGCGGCGACTTGTCGCCGCAAAAAACTTTTGGCGGCGACTTTTGTACTTTCAGCGGCGACTTTTGTCGCCGCTGAAAGTCAATTTTTTTGTAGTGCAACGTGCCCTTCGTTGGGAACTATGCCCAATACAACACATAGACCAACTTCTCACAGCTTCCTCTCGCTCTTGCACGATGGTGCTTTGCTTTTTGCGTATTCGTATCTTTTCGCACATTAAGATTGATTGGTGTGGAAGTTCGGTGTACGATTCTTTTTGCCTCTGGACAAGCCTATAGTTCATGGACATTAGCTAGTAAACTTCAATCAAAATTCACTTACTTTTCATGGTTTTTTGAATCTATTTCGTATAAGCTATAAGATATTCTAGCAATTATGCATGCAAGCTCACTAAAGTAAATTACTATAGAGAGAGTGAGAGTGAAGAGAGAAGGATAGAGGAACCGTAGAGAGGGGCATATTCTATGAAAATCCTATTTTTATAGAGGCTAACCAACCAATAACAAGAAAATAATATATGCAACAACAAGTTCTAGTACAGAAAATGACAGTTCCTTCTTTTGATTATTATTACTCCTCTGGTCCTTATTATAAGACCCAATTTGACTTTTTATTTGGTCCTAATTATAAGACCCAATCCATTTTCTCTCTTATATTTATGTATTTTTTCCAAGATAATCCTTCTAATAATGATAGTTTTAGCTAATATACTTAATTAGCAAGGATATTTTAAGAATAACAACACTTATTTATTATAAATAACTAACTTAACTTACTTTCTTAATCTCTTCAAATAAGTCAATTGGGTCTTATAATTAGGACCGGAGGAGTATTATTTTTGGTTTAGAACCTCATAGCAATTTTCATTTTATGAACTCGGTTGGTCCAGATAATGATTGCCAAAAAAAAAAAAATTCATATCCCTAACAAAGTACTCCATATTCATGTTTTAAAAGAGGTAAAACAATATTGTTAAGAGTTTTCTTCAATTTTTCCTCGAAACAATGGTCGAGTCATCTATTGTATCATGTACTATTAGCAACTTTCTCGGAAATTTTACAACTTAATATGGACAAATAATTGCTATGAAATACTTTTATTTTTGGGAACAAGCCTGTAATTATACACTTAATGCAAACTCGATATACACAAATATGAAATATCACGGTTGATTAATATTTTTTCATCTCGTTTTGGAAGGTAATGCAGTTCAAAATTAAGGTGGTCATCCCTGCCATATGGTATATATTTGACTAGAGGACGTGGCTGCAGTTACTCCAATTTGGCATGAGCTGGACTAAAACAGATATTTATCAACCAGTGGAAACCAGAGAGAATCATATGAAAATTGTAATTTTCATTTTAATTCTCAGGAGATAATTTATAATAAAATATAAATAACAACTTAATAAAATTAGTTGTATATATATCTAGCATGAGCATATGATATCTTGGCGAACGCAAGAAGATCGCTGACTGATAAAATAATTTACAGATTCGGTGCGACAGCAGCTTTAATATATTATGCCTCACAGACAAGAAGAAAACAGACAAATATATGTAAATCAAAACCAAATTATGACTTTTTAAGACTATAGTTTGATTCAGTTCAAAGCAGAAAATGTTGTTCAAACTTGAGGTTGAGGAAATCCCCCTTTTTTTAATAATGCTTTTGTAATTTTCATGTTGTTTAAAAAAATAACATTTGGATTAATTTATTCATCTAGTTTTGAGCTTCCCTATGTTTTTCCACAAACCAAGGAATATTATAATTGTTAGACGAACAGGTGTCGGAACCCTAGCTTTGACTTGGGTTGGTATAACCCATCTATAAAACCTCATGAGGTTTAGCTTCTAAAGCTTTCTCTTTCACTTTGCAAAAAGTGCCTCACATCCCTAACAAAAGAATAAGAAGGAAAAGAAAAGTAGAAGCAGGAGGAGGAGGAGGAGAACAAGTAGTAGTAGAAGAAGAAGAAGCACGCAAGATGAAGAAGCAATACTGCACTACTATGCTAGTTAGATTATTACTGGGATTTCTCTTTGTTATCAATGCCCTAGGGCACTCGTCTGCAACAGATATTCTGGGTAATGATCTCTGGATTTCTCTTTATTTACTTCCAAAATATATGAAACATTAAACTACAGATTAAATGATTCTATATATATTTTCAAAATCTTCAGGTCAGAACGAGAATCAAAAGGAGCTTGATGCCACTAGAATTAGCTCCACGTTCGCTGAAAAGGTAGGTCCCCCCCCCCTCCGGTTATTACAATCACCAATATCTTCTTTGAATTTCTTTGAGCTATATATTTCTCTTCCAAAGCACTTTTATGGCCATACCGATCGACTTTAACTGAACATTTCGTCACCAATTAATGACACTGAAATATATAGTATCTGGGGTTTCTTCGATTATATTAAAAGGGCATAAATTACACATATTCCACTTCACTTTTATCACCTGAGCTAACATGAGGTAACTTTGCAGTGTATTTGACTTAATATGATTGTAAAATGATTTTGTGGACAGGAAACACCTGATGGAAGAAAAGCTCATCAGTACCATGTGAGGAAGCTAGGGTTTGGAGGGAAGAAGAAGTCAATGGTGATTCATAATAAAGAATCAAATATGGAATTTTCTGGGAAAGAAAAAGATTCATCAGAAGGAGGAGGAAGAAGGGCTTCAAAGATTTCAGGTGCAACCTATTCTGATGGAATATGTGACTTTGAAAGGGAGGGAGGTATAAATGTAAAATGTAAAGTACTGGACCACAACAAAAGTACTTCTTCTCGTACTTCTATTTCACCCACCACCAGAAAGTTCAATATGGGTGGTACTTTTGTAGCTTTTACTGCTGATTATCATGGGCCTAGTCACCACATACCCAAACATAATTGAGTGAAAAGCTTTGAAACCCCTTGTGAGTAATGAAAAACTTGATCTTCAATATAATATGATCATTTAATTTGCTTGTATATATGTTTATATTTGTGTTCTTGTGTGTATCCCAACTTGTTCTTGAATATAATATACATCATGCTTGTACCAGAAATCCTTGATTTTGGGAAACGAGAAGTTTTTAAATCTTAATTGTGATATCTTGCGTTTGAAAATTTCATCGTTATTTGTGTCTGATTATTGATTAGTTAGAAGCTAGTGTGTTAATTAGTCATGTTTTATATAGATTATATTCTCAGGGTAATCACCTGTGTGGTTCCTATATTCTGCAGCTGAGGATGATGATGCTTTGAAAAAATCTATGGGACGCCTACGAGAAGGAGACAATCAGGTTAGTTTCATTTTTCTTTCTGAAAAGGAAAAGAAATCATCTTCTTCAGAATACAGTGATCACGCACATATATATGGAAGCCACCAGTAAAATTATATTGTTAAATTTTGTTTCAAATGTTCACACAAGAAGGAGGATCAGAGCATTGCACGTAATCTCTCCGAGAGTACGAACTCAAACCATTCACAACAAATCTCTGAAGAATCTCATCGAGCACATGACGGAGGAACTGATAATAATACTCAGAAAGTCGAAGAGAAAGGCAAAAGGAGTTTCCAGACTGAAGAAGAAGAGGTTATGAACTTCGTGCGCATGGATTACGGGGGAATGGCTCGCCGCAAGCCACCCATCAACAATGACGAACCCAGAAATTGATCATATATATATATATATATATATATATATATTTATAGTGATGGCCTGCTAGATAATATATCGATATATGTGTAGCTAGGCTCACAATTTTGCCCCCTATTAACAAGTAACTACGAGTTTGACCTAGATATAATATATATAGAGGCTTTTTTTTTTTGCTTTCTGGTTTGGTTTTGATGAATCATAGGCAGTGTTATATAAGATCTAGTTTGTTTTTTGACCTGAATATATAAGATCTAGTTAACGCAAACTTGTTTAATTTGTTTTTTTTTCGTTCGTTCAATCATGCTGGTGTAGGAAAAGATTAAAAAAAATTATAGTAGCGGTTGGTGTACATTACATGTATTGTGGTTAATTATTAAATTAAAAGACATTTTTATTTTTATCCTTAAACCATACTTGTAGTGATATTGAGCATCCTAAACTATTAAGTGGTCTAATATTATTTGATGGAATATGGGATAAGGACAATTATTATTAGATGGGTTAATATAATTTTTATTTCTTTAAATTTGTCTTCATTTTAGTTTTGGTCCCTCAAGTTTCAAACAATTAGATTTTGATCTCTTAAGTTTTTTTTATTTAAAATATTGATTTCTATAATTCAGTAAAAAAACCCATAACATTTTGCCTTTTTAGGGACTAAAACCTGTGGTTTGAAAGTTAAGGAAAAACCAAAATGGGAGCAAATTTGAAGAATTAAAGATTATATTAACTCTTATTAGATTAAATTTAAAATTTTATTATTAGGATATGATTTAGATTATTATTTTAATTTATTATTGTTTTATGATTTTAAGACTCTGATTAGGATTAGCATTTATTATTATCATTACTATTATTATTATTATTATTATTATTATTATTATTATTATTATTTACTTTATATTATATTGGTAGTATTGTCAAATATGGGAGATTTTGAAAGAAGGGCGTGTTGGGAAGCACCAACTTAATTTTGATGCCAAAATTGATGTGAAACAAACAAAATAAAGGAGAAGAGATCAAGAAAAGAAGGCATTAAGGAGAATTGAGAGGGAAACTGAAATCTGGATAATTCAATCAATATTCAAAATCTACAAAATCCTGACAATACTTATAAAGTAAATAATAATAATAATAATAATAATAATAATAATAATAATAAAAATAAATGCTAATCCTGAGACTTAAAAAAATAAAACAACAATAAATTAAAATAATTGTAAAATAATAATCTAAATCGTATCCATATAATAAAATCTTAAATTTAATCTAATAATAATTATTATCCTCATCTCATATTTCATCATTATCACTTTCAAATTTTAAAAAAATTGCAATGTGGTCCTAGCTGTTAAAAGAGAATATTAAATATGTGGCGTCGGGCATACATATATGTTCATGTATGCCTTTAATAGATGTTTGCTTGCCTGTAACAATTGTAGGGCTTTGTGACATTTTATTATTGTCTTTTGTTTTGTTTGTACGATACTTGCATAGTGTATGATTCAAGTCAAATCCTAGGCTTTTATATTTTATAGAATAAAACTCTTCTCGTACATTTAGATTGTATAACGCCAAATTACTTAAAGTAAACTAATCCAAACATCCATTTAGTGCTTATGTGAGAATGGTTCAGGCTTCATTTTGTGAGATGGCATTAAATATTAAAAGCACAAGTAGTTTGTGTTTTCCAATTTTATAGTTGATTTTGACATGCACGAAAATATTTATTAAAACAAAAGATAATCATGATTTTAAGTCTTCATCTTATGAATTAACTTTTAATTTAGTTGCAACTTAACTCTTTAAATTTAACTTTGTAATTTAGTTTTTAAAATTTATATTCCGCATAACAATTTCATCCTCAATAATAGCAGCTAAGATGAAAACTTTTTCCTAAGCCACCTTCATGCGGATCATTACCTCAATTCAAAATTAGCACAACGGTCATAAGGTACATATCGTATAAAACAGTAATTAAATTAACAAGAGTAAAAATAAAACATGATTTTTTTAAAAACTAATTACACATTTGCTTCACATGTTTTTTTTTTTTGGCGAGACACACGTAAATATGCAATTATTATTAGGATAGGTAACAACTAACAGTGATAAATGTTTAATTTATTATTACTAATTTCACCGGCTAAATTGTTAACCGCAAAGGCGCTCCTCCGTACCGCTAGAGAGTGCATATCACGCCGCGCGATCTTCCCGTCACCGCCTCTGTTCACACACTCGATACAAACACAACGGCTTTTTCAAATCTTTCAATATAACTCAGTCCCTCGCACTTTCCGTCGCCCTCCTCTCGGCTCTCGATCTCCTCTTTCTCTCACTTTCTACTTCCTTCTCTGCCTTGTTTTCTCTCGGTTCTCGGCGTGAATACGTGCGGCGATTATTAACAATCAAGACGCACAACTTTCTGCCGGATGCTCCGTTGAGCCGCCATATGGCGAGTATGGCGCCGTCGTCGCGTCACCGCCTCGGTTCAGATACCTAATACACAAACGCACAACTGCTTCTTTAGATCTTTCAATTTACTCCCCATCCCATCACGCTTTTTGGATCCCTCCTCTCAACGGCCTCTTGCTCTTTCCTTTCTCTCTCTTCTTTTTTTTTTTTTAAAACCAAAATCTCGGCTTTCTACCTTTTCTCTGTTCTCTCAACTCTCTGTCTCCTCTTCCTCGCTTTTCTGCTCATGGCATGCCGACTTAGTCGAATCAAGGGAAAGAGAATCTTGCTTCCTCGCCCTTGGAGACTGAATTCACAGTCTGGAGAAACTTTCAAGAGAAAATTGGCTGAGGCCTTTTTCGTGAATCGCGTCAGAATGCTGGCCTTCAAGAACAAGCCATCAACCCTGAAAGAGCCTTCTTCTCCTACTCTTGGTTACAAATCCTCCAATCGCTTGCGAGATATTCCTCAGGTAACTATTTTGTTCATAATCGAAGTTTTCTAGTTATACATTTTCTTTTTGCAGTTTTCTAGATATTCCTCCAGTCGCTCCTGATGGATGGAATTTAGCCATTGTTCTTAACGATTCTCATTGGGATTTCATCATAGATAGGAAGGTATAACATTTAGGTTCTGTGAACAAGTGAAAACCTTTTATTTATTCTAGCTTAACAATAAATTGCAACCTTTCTTCCGTTTCCCACGGTTTTCCTGATAATCAACTCAGATTTTGTAGATGGCAGAGCTCCCTGGTCATACATCCTCAATTATATTTCTCTAATAGGATTGATTCAGCTGGAGAGAAAGGATTATTTAAGACATTCAAAGTTACTTCCTATGAACCGAATGATTGTCTTGAACTTTTTTCTCTTAGTTGAAATTTCTTGAACCTTTGTTTTCCAAACAACGTTATAAAGATCCTAGGTTTTAAAACAGTTAATGTGATTACGAGGGAGCTAAATGTTACAGCATGTACTCTGTTGTCAGACTAATTGCGGGAGACCTAAGTAGGCAGGGGGAACTTGCCCTCAAAGCTAGGTTGCAAGAGGAAAGAGCAATCTTCTTAATAGCCAGTAGCCTATTGTCTTAACGGGCATATATGTGCTTTTGCTAAGCTGGGCTTATATAATTAGTATATATCTAAACTCTCTACTTTTTGAAACATTATCGTATAAAACCCAAGTCATTGATATTTTGTAATGTTCTCCTACTAAAGCTTTATACCTGGTTTTGTGGGGCATGCTTTCTAAATTTAATGTACTACCCAATGTCAATTCTAGATTAAATTTCTATTCCATGTATGAGGTCTCCATACCGTAAACAAATCATATTGTGCAATTTAATGATTCCTTTTATTCTCGCTTCTGTCATATTTCTGACTGTTTTCCATGACCATGTTTAATTTCATTTTCTGCTCCCTCAATATGATTGGTAACTTATTTCTTTTAATGGATGGGCAGGATCAATAAACTGTAGGTTCTCGTTCTAGCCCATGGCGATCTTCTCCTGCATCTAATGGGGAAGCTATATCATCTAATTACAATACGAGGTAGGCCGTTCACCAAACTGCACTGTATTATCTCTCCGTGTTTCATTATTACAATGTTAGCTCTTAATAATGACTTTTTAGCAATTTGCTCGTTGGCTTCAGATTTTTATTTTCTTTAAGTGCCAATTATGAATTTTGACTTTTCTTAACTATCATTCTTTGAGTAGGGCAAGAGATTATGCAGCTGAGTTTGAGCTTTGCTTTAAGCTTGAGTATCTAAGTTGGATGTCGGAAACAACTCTGAAAATATTACTAAAGTTACTCCTAGAGGGAATCCATAAAATTATATACAATTTCATTATTTGATCCTGTTCTTAAATGATTCCTAAAGCAAACATCTAAAGAAAAGTAGTTGTAGTGACACAAGAATTTGAGAATTCTTAAAATCAGCAATAACAAATTAATTAGTTAAGTAAGTTAATATCTAAAAAAAGCAGAAAGGGAGAAGAAACAATGGGTATGGTTGAAGGTGGTAGTAGTAGTGACAATAATAATAATAATTAGATTTGCATGTTTCATAATTATATTTAAATTTTAAATTGATTGCAACAGAGTAGGTATAACACCTAAAAATGATAAGGATATTAATGAAAGAAATAATTTTGAAATGAAAAATAATGAATATTAATATCTCATTGTTATATTAATGTTTATAAAATTATCAAAATATCTCAGTAAAACCCACGCTTGTTTTCATGGCTTTGATTCATGCTTGATTGGTTTTTTATCCTTGTAGGCTAGGTGTCTACGCTTGTTCTCGTGGTTTCAAGTCACACTTACTTGGTTAGTTACTCTGATGTATGTGCCCACTTTTGTTGCTTCATTCTAAGTCACATTTGATTGTTTATTTACCCTTGCATGTCCGCATTTGTCCTAGTGGTTTCAAGCCATGCTTGCTAGGTTCCTTACCTTTATGGACTCTCTGTCCATGCTTGCCTAGTTAGTTACCTTCATGAACTGTGCATCCACATTTGTTTGTTCGTTCTTTTTAGCCCCCACTAAAGAATAAAAT